TCGACTCTTTAAATATAATTTTTTAAAATATTCTAGTAGACCCTTCAATTTGATTGAGCAAGCGATTTTATAAAACCCAACTTCAACTGCACTTTCATATAAGACCAACTCAAATTATTGAATCCATTTCCTCTAGATCACATTTATTTAACACAGGATAACTGCATTAGAAGGAAGAAAAGGTAGAAGACAAACCACAAGAAGGTAAAGCAATGCGGCAAGGATTTTAAGAATTGAAACACTTATGTGGCAATTGAGCAAGGATGACACACACACACATTTGATAAGTAACATAAGATTCTCTGTTGCACATAATCCAAATCTGCATGGTTCTTAACTGATCAATTTGCTTGGATGATATAACCGTACCATCCATGAATGAATTATTACATGATCAACTTGCAGACCCTACACTGTAGAGAAGCTGAAGTCACTGGTTTTCAAGTATCCTGCATAAACTGTGTTGGATTTGTAGATGTCATAAAAGATAGAAGTACCATGATGTAGAAAAGTAGAAGACAGAAGCTCGAACAAACTTCAGTCCAATCCGAATGTAATCTTGCACACACCAATGAAATCAGCTATCCATTGTAACATATCTGGAAACTCCACAGGTAGCTGATACACATAAAGCAAGACAATGTTGAGGCCTGTATACAAGTGAAAAGGCGTCCCCCAGTTAAAGTGTATGCAATCTATCTTCTTTCATCTTCCATGTTTGCTATTATCTATACTTCTTGAAATTACTTCATGTTCATTATCCAAAAAGAGGATCATGATATGCAGACACATTCTTTCATTTTCCAATTCTAGGTTATTTATTTCTTCTTTTTTGGATTGCCAAGGATGGTTCAATTTTATTACACTTTTTATGTTTTATTTTTGACTTTTTCATTTTGCTTGAATGGTTCTAAGTAAATTCTTGCACAAGCAATTTTATAATATGAAATTCAAGATTCTTTTCTCCCCAAAATGTTGATGGATCCCCTTTTTTTTTTTTTTTTTGTATTTATAGGTTTAACCCGTATTAATTCTTATAAATAAAATTCATTTTTTATTCTTGCCTAATGGACTAATAGCTCGCAATCATTAGAATGGGAGGTATCGGAAAGAATTTAAATTCTCATTCCCCAATATCACTGATATAAAAAAAATAATTGAAAAAATAACTCTATCCTAATTAGCTAAAGTGGTATTTTAAAATAACATGACAAAATTGCATAGTATAGCCGCACGGCTATACTATTTAAATATATTACTTTCATGGTATAGCCGCTCGGCTATACTCTTTAAATCATGATCAGTAGAACATTATGCGTACAAATCAAATTCAATGAGTGTCACTTTGCACTGTTTTTATACTATCTTAGAACATTTAGACTATGAAAGTAAAAAAGTGTTCAAACCATTATCTTAAGAACAAGCTTGAATGTTCAGTCACTGTGGAATCAAAAGTAAATCATTCATTTAATGCAATGTTACCTTAAATATTTCTGATACAGTGTGAGCATCAATAGCACTGAAAACGTCACAATTTTGATATACAACCCTAGCAAGTTGCATCCTCTGTTTCTGGCCACACTTAGGTTGATGCCATGCTCTCCTATCTCAGTGTGATCTCCAAACTCCATTTCCAAGTCCTTCTCCAAGCAGCACAAACCCTGCCAACTTCATGGTATCTATCTCTGTCCATTGGCAAACCAAATAATATATTTTCTTCAGTGGTCCCATTTTGAATCCATGATGTTTGAGCAACATAGGCAGTTGTTCTACAAACTCGTACCTGTTATCCAAATAGTTTATTAATTCAACAAGTACTTGATTAAACTGAAGCTTTTTGAGTGAGTTATGACCTGGTTATAAACTTATGGTTCAGTGGAGGGATTTTATGTTATAAGAGACATCTAGAAAAGGGTTTAATGGTATCAAATCATACCTTTAAGGATAACTTGTGCATCTCACCAAGAATTAAGGCTAGAAGGGAAGACTTTCCATATCCCCCTGTCCCTTTATTGACACTCAAATTTATGTGTTTCAAATCCTCTTCTTTGCTTTCATCATCGCAGCTAAATGGGCCATTTTCAACCTCCACAGCAGTTCTATCACAGCCCTCGTCTCTCTTCGCCGCATCCTCCACCGATTCCCTACTCATCATATAACGGTCCAACCTCCCAAGAGATATCATAGCTTGAGAAATTGAAATCATAGATTGTGGGAAGGTCCTGATGGGTTCCCACAAAATGTTGAAGATGCTTGCGGTTCTGAACAATGTCCCGGGCTGGCATCAAGCCGGACACCCAATAAGAGTGCAGTGCCAAATGTGAGAGTTGATATAAGTACTGGGGTGCACAACATAACCACAACATTGGCAGAGATTGAATACATGAACTTGGTCAGCCAGCTAAACTCCGACTCGCGGAAAGCCTGGATTCTCTTATTAAAGTGCTCCTCCCAAGCCTGGAATTTGATCACACGCATGTAGTTAAGCATCTCATTTGTTCCGTCTCGTGCCCAGCACAACAAACACAAAAACGCACATGATTCCTACTACAGATGGTATATAC